CTGTTAGAGTGCTTGTCAGATTCAATTATAATCCTGGTCTCACGTACTGGAGTGCTGTCAAGCACTTATTTTGCTACTTGCAAGGCACCCTTGATTATTCTATTGTTCTTGGTCCTGATCCCAATTCCACTAAAATCTTCACCACTTTCTCTAATGCCAATCATGGTGGTGACAAACACTCTGCTCTACTGGTGCTTATCTTGTCAAGATGGGATCTGGTGCTGTCTTCTGGAGTTCCAAGCTGCAAGGCATTGTTGTTCTGTCTACTACAGAGGCAGAATAGATTGCTTGTGTTGAGGCTGGAAAAGAGATCTGCTAAATGCAACATCCATTGAAGGAAATAGGCTATCCTATCACCTCTCCTTCCACTCTTCATATTGACAACCCTCTGTATCCTGAGCACTATGGTTGTATGAAGCACCTTGATTTGCAATGGCACTGGTTGAGATGTTGTTGACTCTGGGCAGATTACTCCTACCTTTGTGCCCACTGCTGAAATGCCAGCTAACATGCCGACCAAGACTCTTGCCAAGCCTAAAATTGAAATCTTTGTGCAGATGGTGTGACTGAGGGATCCATCACCAGGCTCACCCCAAGGGCATGTACAGTATCATTGTTGTCATTGTGATACAGGTTATCTGGTTCTGCCATCAGTAAGCTAGTCTCACCATGGACTCCAATAATATCAATATGTGCTTTAGTTTCCGCAATAAAGCTTGCCATTTCCTGTTTTGGAGGACATTAATACCTTTTGCAAAATTGTCTTAGGCCATGAATCCAGGGTCTCCACCAGGCCAAAATTTGCATATCTTGTCAACTCTGAGTTGTCGCATATGATAGTAATACTATCTGACATTATTCTTTTTGGATTATCATTTTTATAGCAATATGTACAACTCAGGTAATTATCTTCAAAAATAATTCTGACCATTGACATTGCCTAACTTTTGATTTTTTTACTGAGGATCATACCACAATGATGTGAACAAATCCATGATTGTAATTTGACTCTCATGGGTATTGCCACCATCACTTCCTATCTCCTATCGTTCCCAGGA